ACTGATATGTTTCACAGTCTCTGCTGTCTCCATGGAGACGGCCCCCACCGCCTCCTCTCCTCCTCTGCAGCTCTGAGGCTAAAGCTCGGGGACCTAAATCACCAACAAACAAGGATCTACAAGGTTCACTTTGATTGTTTTTAATCTATTTATTCAAAGCCGACAATAAAAACCTTGTCACATAAAGAGGCAGATTAAAGGGTCTTCAGCTTCAACACAATGTTTTCTAAAATCTACACTTTTTAAAAAGCTCTGGTTCAGAAGCAACTTCTCTGTTTACGTTTGAACCAAACAAAAAGTCTGAAAAATAGAACAAGAGAATTCAAACACTTACCCAGACAGCAAAGGGACAGAAGCAGGACTCTGAGGGCCATGGTCTGGACCAGGACTGGACCAGGACTGGACCAGGTCTGAACCAGGTCTGAACCGGGTCTGAACCAGGTCTGAAGCAGGTCTGAAGCAGCTCTGAACCAGGACTAAACCAGGTCTGAACCAGGTCTGAAGCTGGTCTGAACCAGGTCTGTACCAGGTCTGAAGCAGGTCTGAACCAGGTCTGAAGCAGGTCTGAAGCAGGTCTGAAGCCGGACTAAACCAGGACTAAACCAGGACTAAACCAGGACTGAAGCCGGTCTAAACCAGGACTAGGTCTGGTCTGGGTCTGGTCTCACTGATCGCTGTCTCTTGAACATGTTCTTATCTCGTCATCGTCACTTTTTCTGAAGACGGAAATGTTTTAATCTGATGTAAACGTTTCCACGAACTGCTCAGTCTCTTCCATTTAAAGCTCGGGTCTCTAACTTCTCTGTTTCCATAGTAACAGGTCGTTGGTTCGACAGAAAGGGCCTCGTAAATGTGAAATGTTTGAACAAATCAGACCAGAGAGAGACCAGAGAGAGAGACCAGAGAGAGACCAGAGAGAGACCAGAGAGAGACCAGAGAGAGAGACCAGAGAGAGACCAGAGAGAGAGACTAGAGAGAGACCAGAGAGAGACCAGAGAGAGACCAGAGAGAGACCAGAGAGAGACCAGAGAGAGACCAGAGAGAGACCAGAGAGAGACCAGAGAGAGACCAGAGAAAGTCCTGTGATCAGGATGTTTTTAAATCTGTAATAATTGTTTAAAAAAATAAAAAATAATAAAACAACATCAAAATAGTTCAAATGTAAAAACCATGTCTTTAAATGGTCAATTTGTGTGTGTGTGTGTGTGTGTGTGTGTGTGTGTGTGTGTGTGTGTGTGTGTGTGTGTGTGTGTGTGTGTATATGTGTGTGTGTGTCTGTGTGTACTTTGAAGAACCTAGAATTCAAAACATATTTTCAGTAGTTTCATACTTCTTTTTTAGTCAAACATAATTCCACATGAGTTCATTCATATTTTGATGCCTTCAGTGTGAAACCGGAGCACCTGGAGGAATCCAACGCAGACACGGGGAGAACATGCACAGGGCCTTCTCTGTGGTCTCAAACCCAAAGCACAGGGCCTTCTCTGTGGTCTTAAACCCAGAGCACAGGGCCTTCTCTGTGGTCTCAAACCCAGAGCACAGGGCCTTCTCTGTGGTCTTAAACCCAGAGGACAGGGCCTTCTCTGTGGTCTAAAACCCAGAGGACAGGGCCTTCTCTGTGGTCTTAAACCCAGAGCACAGGGCCTTCTCTTTAGTCTTAAACCCAGAGCACAGGGCCTTCTCTGTGGTCTAAAACCCAGAGCACAGGGCCTTCTCTGTGGTCTTAAACCCAGAGCACAGGGCCTTCTCTGTGGTCTAAAACCCAGAGCACAGGGCCTTCTCTGTGGTCTTAAACCCAGAGCACAGGGCCTTCTCTTTAGTCTTAAACCCAGAGCACAGGGCCTTCTCTGTGGTCTAAAACCCAGAGCACAGGGCCTTCTCTGTGGTCTTAAACCCAGAGCACAGGGCCTTCTCTGTGGTCTTAAACCCAGAGCACAGGGCCTTCTCTGTGGTCTTAAACCCAGAGCACAGGGCCTTCTCTGTGGTCTTAAACCCAGAGCACAGGGCCTTCTCTGTGGTCTTAAAACCCAGAGCACAGGGCCTTCTCTGTGGTCTTAAACCCAGAGCACAGGGCCTTCTCTGTGGTCTTAAACCCAGAGCACAGGGCCTTCTCTGTGGTCTTAAACCCAGAGCACAGGGCCTTCTCTGTGGTCTTAAACCCAGAGCACAGGGCCTTCTCTGTGGTCTTAAACCCAGAGCACAGGGCCTTCTCTGTGGTCTTAAACCCAGAGCACAGGGCCTTCTCTGTGGTCTTAAACCCAGAGCACAGGGCCTTCTCTGTGGTCTTAAACCCAGAGCACAGGGCCTTCTCTGTGGTCTTAAACCCAGAGCACAGGGCCTTCTCTGTGGTCTTAAACCCAGAGCACAGGGCCTTCTCTGTGGTCTTAAACCCAGAGCACAGGGCCTTCTCTGTGGTCTTAAACCCAGAGCACAGGGCCTTCTCTGTGGTCTTAAACCCAGAGCACAGGGCCTTCTCTGTGGTCTTAAACCCAGAGCACAGGGCCTTCTCTGTGGTTCTTAAACCCAGAGCACAGGGCCTTCTCTGTGGTCTTAAACCCAGAGCACAGGGCCTTCTCTGTGGTCTTAAACCCAGAGCACAGGGCCTTCTCTGTGGTCTTAAACCCAGAGCACAGGGCCTTCTCTGTGGTCTTAAACCCAGAGCACAGGGCCTTCTCTGTGGTCTTAAACCCAGAGCACAGGGCCTTCTCTGTGGTCTTAAACCCAGAGCACAGGGCCTTCTCTGTGGTCCTAAACCCAGAGCACAGGGCCTTCTCTTTAGTCTTAAACCCAGAGCACAGGGCCTTATCTGTGGTCTAAAACCCAGAGCCTTCTCTGTGGTCTTAAACCCAAGAGCACAGGGCCTTCTCTGTGGTCTTAAACCCAGAGCACAGGGCCTTCTCTGTGGTCTTAAACCCAGAGCACAGGGCCTTCTCTGTGGTCTTAAACCCAGAGCACAGGGCCTTCTCTGTGGTCTTAAACCCAGAGCACAGGGCCTTCTCTGTGGTCTTAAACCCAGAGCACAGGGCCTTCTCTGTGGTCTTAAACCCAGAGCACAGGGCCTTCTCTGTGGTCTTAAACCCAGAGCACAGGGCCTTCTCTGTGGTCTTAAAACCCAGAGCACAGGGCCTTCTCTGTGGTCTTAAACCCAGAGCACAGGGCCTTCTCTGTGGTCTTAAACCAGAGCACAGGGCCTTCTCTGTGGTCCTAAACCCAGAGCACAGGGCCTTCTCTGTGGTCTTAAACCCAGAGCACAGGGCCTTCCTGTGGTCTTAAACCCAGAGCACAGGGCCTTCTCTGTGGTCTTAAACCCAGAGCACAGGGCCTTCTCTGTGGTCTTAAACCCAGAGCACAGGGCCTTCTCTGTGGTCTTAAACCCAGAGCACAGGGCCTTCTCTGTGGTCTTAAACCCAGAGCACAGGGCCTTCTCTGTGGTCCTAAACCCAGAGCACAGGGCCTTCTCTGTGGTCCTAAACCCAGAGCACAGGGCCTTCTCTGTGGTCCTAAACCCAGAGCACAGGGCCTTCTCTGTGGTCTTAAACCCAGAGCACAGGGCCTTCTCTGTGGTCTTAAACCCAGAGCACAGGGCCTTCTCTGTGGTCTTAAACCCAGAGCACAGGGCCTTCTCTGTGGTCTTAAACCCAGAGCACAGGGCCTTCTCTGTGGTCTTAAACCCAGAGCACAGGGCCTTCTCTGTGGTCTTAAACCCAGAGCACAGGGCCTTCTCTGTGGTCTCAAACCCAGAGCACAGGGCCTTCTCTGTGGTCTTAAACCCAGAGCCTTCTCTGTGGTCTTAAACCCAGAGCACAGGGCCTTCTCTGTGGTCTTAAACCCAGAGCACAGGGCCTTCTCTGTGGTCTTAAACCCAGAGCACAGGGCCTTCTCTGTGGTCTTAAACCCAGAGCACAGGGCCTTCTCTGTGGTCTTAAACCCAGAGCACAGGGCCTTCTCTGTGGTCTTAAACCCAGAGCACAGGGCCTTCTCTGTGGTCTTAAACCCAGAGCACAGGGCCTTCTCTGTGGTCTTAAACCCAGAGCACAGGGCCTTCTCTGTGGTCTTAAACCCAGAGCACAGGGCCTTCTCTGTGGTCTTAAACCCAGAGCACAGGACCTTCTCTGTGGTCTAAAACCCAGAGCACAGGGCCTTCTCTGTGGTCTTAAACCCAGAGCACAGGACCTTCTCTGTGGTCTTAAACCCAGAGCACAGGGCCTTCTCTGTGGTCTTAAACCCAGAGCACAGGGCCTTCTCTGTGGTCCTAAACCCAGAGCACAGGGCCTTCTCTGTGGTCTTAAACCCAGAGCACAGGGCCTTCTCTGTGGTCTTAAACCCAGAGCACAGGGCCTTCTCTGTGGTCCTAAACCCAGAGCACAGGGCCTTCTCTGTGGTCTTAAACCCAGAGCAAAGGGCCTTCTCTGTGGTCTTAAACCCAGAGCACAGGGCCTTCTCTGTGGTCCTAAACCCAGACCACAGGGCCTTCTCTGTGGTCTTAAACCCAGAGCAAAGGGCCTTCTCTGTGGTCTTAACCCAGAGCACAGGGCCTTCTCTGTGGTCCTAAACCCAGAGCACAGGGCCTTCTCTGTGGTCCTAAACCCAGAGCACAGGGCCTTCTCTGTGGTCTTAAACCCAGAGCACAGGGCCTTCTCTGTGGTCTTAAACCCAGAGCACAGGGCCTTCTCTGTGGTCTTAAACCCAGAGCACAGGGCCTTCTCTGTGGTCTTAAACCCAGAGCACAGGGCCTTCTCTGTGGTCTTAAACCCAGAGCACAGGGCCTTCTCTGTGGTCTTAAACCCAGAGCACAGGGCCTTCTCTGTGGTCTTAAACCCAGAGCCTTCTCTGTGGTCTTAAACCCAGAGCACAGGGCCTTCTCTGTGGTCTTAAACCCAGAGCACAGGGCCTTCTCTGTGGTCTTAAACCCAGAGCACAGGGCCTTCTCTGTGGTCTGCAGGACACACGTCACACAAACAGCCACGAGATCAGACGATAGTCACAGGAAGTCACTCAAAATGTGTGTGTGTGTGTGTGTGTGTGTGTGTGTGTGTGTGTGTGTGCGTGCGTGCGTGTGCGTGTGTGTATGTAAGTGTGCGCTTCTTGCGCCTGCGCGTTTGTTGGGGTGTGCAGACGGTGAGGACTTCCCCAGACAGAGGTAGTGGGGCTGGGGTTAAAATTAAACCTGTATAGGGGTGGGAGAACCAGACTGTCTGACCTGTCTCCCCAGAAAAGAGCTCTCAAAACTGGGCTTTGAGTGGACCGTTCACAGCCTAAGAACCAGGGGTCCTTTTCTACCAGTCTCCAGCGTTCTGGGCAGTGTTCTGGACAGTGTTCTGGACAGCGTTCTGGACAGTGTTCTGGACAGTGTTCTGGACGTTCTGGACAGTGTTCTGGACAGTGTTCTGGACAGTGTTCTGGACAGTGTTCTGGACAGTGTTCTGGGCAGCGTTCTGGGCAGGGTTCTGGACAGCGTTCTGGACAGTGTTCTGGACAGTGTTCTGGACAGTGTTCTGGGCAGCGTTCTGGGCAGGGTTCTGGACAGCGTTCTGGACAGTGTTCTGGACAGCGTTCTGGACAGTGTTCTGGACAGTGTTCTGGGCAGTGTTCTGGGCAGCGTTCTGGACAGTGTTCTGGACAGTGTTCTGGACAGTGTTCTGGGCAGCGTTCTGGACAGTGTTCTGGACAGTGTTCTGGACAGTGTTCTGGGCAGCGTTCTGGACAGTGTTCTGGACAGTGTTCTGGGCAGCGTTCTGGGCAGGGTTCTGGACAGCGTTCTGGACAGTGTTCTGGACAGCGTTCTGGGCAGCGTTCTGGACAGCGTTCTGGACAGTTCTGGACAGCTTTCTGGACAGTGTTCTGGACAGTGTTCTGGGCAGTGTTCTGGACAGTTTTCTGGGCAGCGGTCTGGGCAGGGTTCTGGACAGCGTTCTGGACAGTGTTCTGGACAGTGTTCTGGGCAGCGTTCTGGGCAGGGTTCTGGACAGCGTTCTGGACAGTGTTCTGGACAGCGTTCTGGGCAGTGTTCTGGACAGCGTTCTGGACAGCGTTCTGGACAGCGTTCTGGACAGTGTTCTGGACAGTGTTCTGGACAGTGTTCTGGGCAGTGTTCTGGACAGTTTTCTGGGCAGCGGTCTGGGCAGGGTTCTGGACAGCGTTCTGGGCAGCGTTCTGGACAGCGTTCTGGACAGTGTTCTGGACAGGGTTCTGGACAGTGTTCTGGACAGGGTTCTGGACAGGGTTCTGGACAGCATTCTGGACAGTGTTCTGGACAGCGTTCTGGGCAGCGTTCTGGACAGCGTTCTGGACAGCGTTCTGGACAGCGTTCTGGGCAGCGTTCTGGACAGCGTTCTGGACAGCGTTCTGGACAGCGTTCTGGACAGTGTTCTGGGCAGCGTTCTGGGCAGGGTTCTGGACAGCGTTCTGGACAGTGTTCTGGACAGTGTCCTGGGCAGCGTTCTGGACAGCGTTCTGGACAGCGTTCTGGACAGCGTTCTGGGCAGTGTTCTGGACAGTGTTCTGGACAGCGTTCTGGGCAGCGTTCTGGACAGCGTTCTGGACAGTGTTCTGGACAGGGTTCTGGACAGCGTTCTGGACAGCGTTCTGGACAGTGTTCTGGACAGTGTTCTGGGCAGCGTTCTGGGCAGCGTTCTGGACAGCGTTCTGGACAGTGTTCTGGACAGTGTTCTGGACAGCGTTCTGGACAGTGTTCTGGGCAGCGTTCTGGGCAGCGTTCTGTTCTGGACAGTGTTCTGGACAGCGTTCTGGACAGCGTTCTGGGCAGCGTTCTGGATAGTGTTCTGGACAGTGTTCTGGACAGTGCACGAGCAGCGCCTCACGAGCAGCGCCTCACGAGCAGCGCCTCACGAGCAGCGCGTCTTCGAGCGTTTTGCGCGTTTGGTGCGGCGCGTTTTGAGATTTCGAGCGTCTTGACGGGCGTGAAGCGCGTGTCCCGCGGATGACGCTCGAGTTGAACAATGTTGAACTTTTCGGGAGAAGACGAGAGCGTCTACCAATCAGGAGCCTCCTCCAACAGTGACGTGGTAACGCATTTCACGGCAGGACCGAGGGGGACGACAACACAACAGCTATGGAGGACAAGCTGTGCTGTTAGCCCATGAGCCCTGCAGACTATAACCACCGTGACATGGAGGAGGTCAGTGAGGAGGTGTCTCTGGTCAGTTATTTAAACTTTTCACAATCACTAATACTTCCATGAACAAAATCTGTAATGTCATCTTTAGGGAGAAACAAACCCACAGATTACATATTAAAGCTACACAGAGGAAACAGTCCATGGAGACAGCAGCTGTAGTATGCTAACATGTAGCATGCTAACATGTAGTATGCTAACATGTAGTATGCTAACATGCTAACATGTAGCATGCTAACATGTAGTATGCTAACATGTAGCATGCTAACATGTAGTATGCTAACATGTAGCATGCTAACATGTAGTATGCTAACATGTAGCATGCTAACATGTAGTATGCTAACATGTAGTATGCTAACATGTAGCATGCTAACATGTAGCATGCTAACATGTAGCATGCTAACATGTAGTATGCTAACATGTAGCATGCTAACATGTAGTATGCTAACATGTAGCATGCTAACATGTAGCATGCTAACATGTAGTATGCTAACATGTAGCATGCTAACATGTAGTATGCTAACATGTAGTATGCTAACATGTAGCATGCTAACATGTAGTATGCTAACATGTAGTATGCTAACATGTAGCATGCTAACATGTAGTATGCTAACATGTAGCATGCTAACATGTAGCATGCTAACATGTAGTATGCTAATATGTAGCATGCTAACATGTAGTATGCTAATATGTAGCATGCTAACATGTAGTATGCTAACATGTTATGAATTGTGTTTACAAATAAATGGAGTCACTGAAAATGAAAGTGACGCCCTGGCGATGAATTTTAACAAATATTTTATTGATTCAGTGAATAAATTATCACAATCTTTCTCACTACCCCACATCATGGAAACTCCTGATGTGAATGACCCAATGGCTCTACATCTTGTGCCAATAAATGAAGAAAAAGTAGATAAAATCATCGGTAAACTAAACAACAGTAAAGCAAAAGATTTTTACGGATTGGATTGTACGTTCTTAAAAGAACACAGGGATGTACTTAAAATGACCATTTCTAAATCCATAAACCAGTCAATAGAGGACAGTGTCTTTCCCTGTGCACTTAAAATTGGAATAATCACACCTGTGTTTAAGTCGGGGGATAGACAGCAGGCATCCAACTACCGCCCCATATGTATTCTGCCAGCTATCTCAAAAATCTATGAAAAAGCGGTAGCAGAGCAGCTTATAGAACACTTGGGCTCATACTCACTCCTGAACCCAATGCAATTTGGATTCAGGAGTGGGTACTCAACAGAAACTGCCTGCTGCTTTCTAATCGAAGAAATCAAATCCAGACTGGACCATGGCGGGGTTGTGGGAGCAGTCTTCCTTGACCTCCGCAAGGCTTTTGACACTGTCAATCACAGCATTCTCTTAGGAAAATTATCAAATTATAATCTATCCAAACAAACAATAAACTGGATCAGGTCGTACCTAAGTGGCAGACAGCAATGTGTGAGAGTAAAAAACACCTTGTCTCCACTGGAAAACTACACCACGGGAGTTCCGCAGGGCTCCATTCTGGGGCCACTGTTATTCAGTTTGTACATTAATGACCTCCCCTCAGTCTCCGCTGCGAGCACCATCATGTATGCCGATGATACAGTAGTCTTCGTCCATGGGAAAAACGAAAATGAGGTCACAAAAGAACTGACCATCCAAATTCAGAGAGTGGCTGACTGGCTGTTTCAAAATTGTCTAACACTGAATACGGAGAAAACAGTCTCTATATATTTCACAAATCGAACTAAACACCTAAATTACCCAACAATTAAAATAAACGGAAATAATATCAAAAATGTTGAAAAATATACCTACTTGGGCGTCAGCCTTGACTCCACTTTAACTTTTAAAAGTCATTTTAAAAAACTTCAAAACAGTCTAAACTTTACTTTGGCCAACTTCAGACACATCAGAGGGTCCCTCACAGTCGAGGCCTCCCACATGTTTCTGAACGCTATGATTCTGCCACACTTCATGTACTGTATGTCCAGTTGGTCCCAGGGCTCCAAATCTGCTCTGGGTCCTCTTCAATCAATATACAAACGTGCACTAAAAATACATGACAGGAAACCCAAACAATACCATCACTGCCCAATCTTAACAAAATACAACATTCTTAACCTCGAAAATCAATTCTTTTATAATAATGTGTGTCTACTTTTTAAAGTTATAAACGGTCTTATTGCCCCACCCCTTAGGAAATATGTGACCCTGTGCTCTGAAAAAATGACCCGTGCCACTCGATCTACAGCACGAGGAGAGTGCAGCATCCCAACATGTAGGACCTCTTTCAGAAAGTCAGCCTTCTCCGTCACTGCAGCGACTCAGTGGAACTCACTCCCAACTCACATCATCACTTGCACTGATCTAAAACTATTCACACGCCTGACAAGAGCATGGCTCCTAGAGAGGCAGATCTGTTCCCATGTGTGATGAGTGTCTGCGTAGGTGTGTATGTGGGTGTGTGTATGTGTGTGTGTGTGTGTGTGTGTGCATGAGAGAGAGAGATAGAGTGCAGGTTGAGTGTAGGTTCGTATGAAAATAAAGAATGGGGGCTGGGTGGTTTTATTATATTCTATTATCTAATTTGTGATTAATTAAATTGTAAGGTATGTCTGATAATGTATGGTAATGTATCCATCTACTTTTTATTTTACTGTCTCACAACAACCTGCTCAGGGACTACAGGTGAAAATTAGCACTGCTGCTACAACCTGGTACAAAGCATCTCTCCTTTTGGCTAATGTTTACTGTACACTGTCCCTGTAAAAATAAAAACCATACCATACCATACCATACCATATACAGTGCCTTGCGAAAGTATTCGGCCCCCTTGAACCTTTGAACATTTAGCCACATTTCAGGCTTCAAACATAAAGATATAAAATTTTAATTTTTTGTCATGAATCAACAACAAGTGGGACACAATCGTGAAGTGGAACAAAATTTATTGGATAATGTAAACTTTTTTAACAAATAAAAAACTGAAAAGTGGGGCGTGCAATATTATTCGGCCCCTTTACTATCAGTGCAGCAAACTCACTCCAGAAGTTCAGTGAGGATCTTTGAATGATCCAATGTTGTCCTAAATGACTGATGATGATAAATAGAATGCTCATGTGTGTAATCAAGTCTCCGTATAAATGCACCTGCTCTTTGATAGTCTCAGGGTTCTGTTTAAAGCGCAGAGAGAACCATGAAGACAAAGGAACACACCAGGCAGGTCCGAGATACTGTTGTGGAGAAGTTTAAAGCCGGATTTGGATACAAAAAGATTTCCCAAGCTTTAAACATCTCAAGGAGCACTGTGCAAGCAATTATATTGAAATGGAAGGAGTATCAGACCACTGCAAATCTACCAAGACCCGGCCGTCCCTCCAAACTTTCATCTCAAACAAGAAGACTGATCAGAGATGCAGCCAAGAGGCCCATGATTACTCGGGGTGAACTGCAGATAACTACAGCTGAGGTGGGAGATTCTGTCCATAGGACAACCATCTGTCGTGCACTGCACAAATCTGGCCTTTATGGAAGAGTGGCAAGAAGAAAGCCATTTCTCAAAGATATCCATAAAAGGTCTTAGGTTTAAAGTTTGCCACAAGCCACCTGGGAGACACACCAAACATGTGGAAGAAGGTGCTCTGGTCAGATGAAACCAAAATCGAACTTTTTGGCCACAATGCAAAACGATATGTTTGGCGTAAAAGCAACACAGCTCATCACCCTGAACACACCATCCCCACTGTCAAACATGGTGGTGGCAGCATCATGGTTTGGGCCTGCTTTTCTTCAGCAGGGACAGGGAAGATGGCTAAAATTGATGGGAAGATGGATGGAGCCAAATACAGGACCATTCTTGAAGAAAACCTGTTGGAGTCTGCAAAAGACCTGAGACTGGGACGGAGATTTATCTTCCAACAGGACAATGATCCAAAACATAAAGCCAAATCTACAATGGAATGGTTCACAAATAGACGTATCCAGGTGTTAGAATGGCCAAGTCAAAGTCCAGACCTGAATCCAATCGAGAATCTGTGGAAAGAGCTGAAGACTGCTGTTCACAAACGCTCTCCATCCAACCTCACTGAGCTCGAGCTGTTTTGCAAGGAAGAATGGGCAAGAATTCCAGTCTCTCGATGTGCAAAACTGATAGAGACATACCCCAAGCGACTTGCAGCTGTAATTGCAGCAAAATGTGGCTCTACAAAGTATTAGCGCAAGGGGGCCGAATAATATTGCACGCCCCACTTTTAAGTTTTTTATTTGTTAAAAAAGTTTAAATTATCCAATAAATTTCGTTCCACTTCACGATTGTGTCCCACTTGTTGTTGATTCTTGACAAAAAAAATATTTTTATATCTTTATGTTTGAAGCCTGAAATGTGGCGAAATGTTGAAAGGTTCAAGGGGGCCGAATACTTTCGCAAGGCACTGTATATATTAAACATGTGTTTCTTCTGCCGCTTTAGGACAAAGGATGCATTTTAGCTTTTGTGCTAATTCCAGCATCTTGATGTTGAAGCTGTTTCTGACACATTCATATGTACTGCCCTCATTCAAAGAAATGAACTGATGAATACAAATATGTCGTCTGTTTGGGACCATGAAGGAAGATCAAAGGAGGAAAACTAGTCCAGACAATAATGCAAGTTCAGTTGATTTGTCCTTTCTAAATCCATATTGATTGTTAGGATGTTGTGTTTTTCAATAAATGACTCCATTCTATTTACAAAGAGCGTTTCCAGTATTTTGGAACATAGAGATAAGATAGA